ACAAAAGAATTGCCTTTAGCTAATTAGCACCCTCTAATTTTTTGCTTTTGTTACCTCATGTTTAGATATCGACAGATTCTTTTTTTTTTTTTTAACATCTTTATTGGGGTATAATTGCTTTACAATGGTGTGTTAATTTCTGCTTTATAACAAAGTGAATCAGTTATACATATACATATGTTCCCATATCTCTTCCCTCTTGCATCTCCCTCCCTCCCACCCTCCCTATCCCACCCCTCCAGGTGGTCACAGAGCACCGAGCTGATCTCCCTGTGCTATGCGGCTGCTTCCCACTAGCTATCTACCTTATGTTTGGTAGCGTATATATGTCCATGCCTCTCTCTCGCTTTGTCACAGCTTACCCTTCCCCCTCCCCATATCCTCAAGTCCGTTCTCTAGTAGGTCTGTGTCTTTATTCCTGTCTTACCCCTAGGTTCTTCATGACATTTTTTTCCTTAAATTCCATATATATGTGTTAGCATACGGTATTTGTCTTTCTCTTTCTGGCGACAGAGATTCTTAAAGCTGAATTATATCAGCAGCCTGAATAAACTAGCAGACCTACACAGTATTTTCTCTATTATTATTTATACTTTGACTCTTTATACCATAAGGAGGTTGGATAGATTTCAGAAATCATTTAGCTCAACACGTAGCTACAGGCAAATCCATAGCCAAATCATCCCAGATGGGGAACTGTTTATTTTTAAGTATCTGGAGCTCCCCCATCCTCCCTTAGTAATCTGTTTGTATGTGTCAGAGCAGGAACTCCCGGAACTTGAGGATTTTCAAGGAGTCATTCTCAGCACTGTATAAACATAACAGAGATTCTCTCTCTGTCTGTGTTCCCCAGTCGAGGATGTTCTACCATACCTTGAGAGGTAGGACATCACCATGTGTGTGGATAAATACTCTAGAAGTCACAGTGGTGCCAGTGGGCATTTAAGAGTAGGTTATAAAATGGACAGTACCACCCCGAAGGAAACTATCCTCCAAAGACAAGAGGTAAGGAGGCGGCCCTATAAGTCTTTCCTTCTCTAATTTCCCTGATTACATTATCTCCTTTTGTCCCCTGTGCTATACCTAAGAAGCTCCCCCAGACCTAGACCTAATCAAGAAGGCAGAATATTGATGCGGTGCAACTGAAAGGAAGAGCCCTGTTATGTTAAGATACGTGGCCAGCAATGAGACCTAAACAACAAGGAAGCCCCTGAGGCTTCAAAAGTGGCTGGCCCAGCTAATGCACCACTGGGGATTTCAAAGCAAATGGGGACAGAGACAAGAAATGTCAGCTCACAGCTGGGAAACTTCATCGGAGGGGAGAGGGTGACTTTCCTGAGGCCTGGGGTGTGGAAGCAACGCCAATTTATATCCCACTCTCTACCTGAATTAGCAGATCCAGACTGGCACTTCTTTGGCTAGAATTCTTGGTCCTGGGTATCTGAGTGGGTATCATATACCCTAGAAAGGAAGGTAAATCTCTGTACACTAGTGCTGTGGAATATGCTGAGCCACCAAGGGAAGGTCTTAATCAGGCAAGAGGATTTTCTTTTAAAAACTTAGATTAATTTTTCCTTTGCTGAGGTCCAGTTCGTGCTGAGTGCTTCTTTGGACTTAATCCATTAAGCACTGAAGCAGAGGAGTGAACAGGGCAGACTCTGGAACCTAAATGCCTGGATCAATCCTGGCTCTTCAGTAGCTACTTAAGAGCTGTAAGAATGAATATAGGCAAAGTATTGAAACTTTGAAAGCCTCAGTTTCACCACCTGCAAAATGGGCATAATAATAGAACATAAAGCTTGAACAATGCCCGGCACAGAGGAAGTTTTTATATAAAGTTGTGGGGATTAGACAAAATAAGTATAAAGCGGTATGGTGCCTGCCAATGTTCAATAAGTGGTACTTCTGCTACTATTATTACTGTCAGTGACAACAACGATAACACTAAAAAGTGATGGAGAAAGTGAGAACAGCCCATGTGCCAAGGACACAGAAAAAATGGAGAGAAATACAATGATGTGCACTGAGCAAGGCTTAACATCTTGAATCTTTAACTAAGGGAAAAGAAAGAAGCAAACAAGGGTAATAAATTAGGGAGGATATTGGGAGTATGGAGAAATTATCATCTCTGTTTCTTTTTATTTGTGTTTATTGTGTGGTGGTGGGGTGATTACCAGTTTTATTTGAATGTTTTATAAGCTGTTAGATTTATTTACTGAGAATGAACAGATAAATAGGGATGTTATTCAGCTGTGTCATGTCACGGCTTCTCATCAGCTCTTCCACTAACTTCCAGACAAGGTTAATTAATGAGGGAAGTTCACTGTGGAGCTGGAGGGGAGAGCTGGGTCTGTTGAATGATTCATCTTATTGGGGGAACAGTGGATGAATCAACTCTCATGTTAGCCGTTCTGGGGAGGAAAGTAAGCATTGGATGGAGACTTTCAGGATATCTTGAGAAAGAGGTACTGTCCGAGGAGTATGCTCACTCTAACATTATATAATTTGATGGAAACTGGAACAGCTTCTAAATCTCTTCTAATCCTGGATGTTCAAGGTTGTGCTTTTTAATATTTTGTTTCCCTGCTTAGAGCAAGGTGTCTTAATCCTAAACCAGAGGAGCTCCAGAAACACTCTTCCATTCATGTCTTCATGGAGGTTCCTTTTCATTCACCTCTCATAGGTGACATGTCGCCTCCTCCGGGAGACCTTCTGTGACCCTGTCTAAAGTGGTCCCCACCAGCCACTCCCTCACATTACCTTGCTTCACTCTCTGCCTAATAGTGTGGCCTAGTGGTTGAGTGCAGGGGACATGGAGCTAGACTCCCCGAGTTCAAACCCCAGCTCTGTCCCTTCGGTGTGTTAACTTGGGTGTGTAATTAACCTCTCCAGCCTTAGTTTCTTCGTCTGTAAAATGGAAACAATGAAAACGCTTTCCTCCTGGATTGTCACGAGGACTAATACACATAAGCTGTCCCACGCTCAGCATATTGTAGTGCGCACAAATGTTAGCTACTGTTGTTTTAGCCTTCATCGCTCTCTGAAATCACCTTCTTTGCTTATTTACTTATTACGATCTCTTTTCCCCCTGTTCGTTAGCAGTTGGCAGGGAATTTTTGGTGTTCAAAGATGAGTTTAGGATCTTGAACAAGCTCCATATTAGGAGTTCAATAAACATTTGTCAAAATAATGAATGAGTGTTCTGTCAATATTTAAGAAATGAGCTTCTCCAATTTCAGATCGTGTAGCCAAACAGCTTGACTGAGCTGCCCGAATGACAGAACCAACAGAACCCGAGCCACTTAGTCTCTTGCCTAGACTGAAACTCAAACTATTTCTCTATATTGTTTTTATTATTATTATTATTTTTACCATAACTCCCACTTTTGGGCAAATAAAATGTTGCAGAGCTTTACAATCTCTAGTTTGTTGTATGAACGTAATAATAATTTTTTGTTGGTTTTCAAAACATTAAGCTATCTAATGATATTGAATTACACTAGATATTGCTTTTTCAAAATATACCTCACCTCTTCCACCCTCCTTCCCTTCTGGGATATGCCTGCTACAGACCAGGAAAAACCAGGGAAGGTGAAGAACAAATGCTGACAGAAAAGTTGGAATGCCAAGAATGCATCTTTCTGGCATTAAAATGACAATAATCACTACACCTATAGTTTGCTTATAGAATTCCAAACTGGCTAAGGCTACACAGGTAACAGCTAATAAATGTACGGTGTTTCCGTGAGGCAGGAAAATACATGATGGTCCTAAAGATAGTCTGTTTTTTGTCCTCCGACATATCCCTTTGTAACAGGCCAAGAAATCCCTCTGTAGGGGGAGCTACTGCACAGGGCGCTGCCTGGGGGGCCTCTCCCTTGCTTTGAACCCTGTTAAAGGTTAAGGGTGTTCCACATGTGCCCTTTGGGCTGTAGGACAGCTCAGCTAAAAGTCATCCTTAGAAGGACCTGCTTTATCACAACCTTCCTTTTTACAGAAGAATTAATGTCAAAGAAAATGCCTGATTCTAACTTTTCTGCAGCTGCTAGCCTCCTCATGACTTATGTGAGGTTTCTAAAGCCTGATGAAAATGACCGTTACCATCCCTGACAAGGTTATGGCATTGTCCCACAAGAACTGGGCTACTGGAAGCTCTAGACTCCGCAGTGGGGAAAGGTCATGCCGGCCACAGCGACAGTGCATTCCATCTGTTTGCCCTCCTCATATAATAAATATTGTTTGAAAGATTGGTTAGTGTGTTGTAAAAACTGATAAGATTCGGGTTGCCAAAGGCATTTCATGAATTTCATAGGTCTTAATTTATGTTGCTATAGTAACTGAAACGTTGGAATCTCCCAAGATTAGAAAGCTTTTATATCCTTAACCTTAGAATGGTAATAATGTAGATTATGACTCTGGACTTGGTCTTTGCTGTTGTGCGGAACATATTTTCTGTATGTGGAGTGTTCTATCTATGCTAAGGTGTGGCTGAATGTTCAGTCACTGTGATTTCAAAATTAGGATTTCTGATGTCCAACCTGATTTTCTTATCTACATGTATGAATCTTGGTGGCCAAGCTGTTATTAAAATGGACGGTCTTTCTCTAAAGAGAAAGGGGGGATTGGAAGGGGGAGGTGGGAGAGGTAGAATTCTTACAGTAGTAGGTTCTAGAATGGTCATCTTAAGGACGGATGTGAATTTGGCTTACCTTCTCCATCAAAGTGAATTTCTAGCATGTGCTGAAGCACTTGATGCATTATTAACATGTGTTTTAAGGAAAGACACTCGCTGAGGCATTTAGGGCACCAGCACTGTCTGAAGTGAGAATGAGGGGTGTCATGAATCCCCTGCCTTGAGACAGGAAGATAACTAAGAACCCTGTGGGCTGCTCCAGATCACATGTATTGATTATATGGACCCAAAGCAGCTGGAAAACCCAATGCAAGTGACCTAGGATTGACCCGAGACGGAAGTCTTTCCCTGCTGGAGCCCAGCTTACCTTATATCCTGATGATTTGATGTGCACGCCACGTTTGGTCAGCGTAGATTTCATTCGGATGAAAAACGAACGCTCAAGGGTGTTGTCAGTGGTTAGCAGACTGGGGCTGGTTGATTCCACTGAAGAATACAAAAATACATACACATGATTTAGAGCTCTACACAGCCCCTCTCAGCTACTGCTCAGGTACGATCCTTGAGTTCACTAAAAATAAATGACTGATGGGTGCTAAGAGTGTAGTAATCAATTTACCTCATTTAGAAAATGTTTACTTTGCAGAAAATAAAAAAGAAAAATTAATGTGTCTGAAGAAACTCCTTTCCAGTTTCTAGCAAGGGCTTTTCAGGCCTTTTAAGTTCCAGCAGCTCCCCAAGTGGGGTCTGATAGTAAGTAAGTAACTGTAGCACATCCTGAGGCTTGGCTGGTGCACATGGAGAGAACAGTCACAAAAAACAAGGACCCCAGAGATTTACTGGATGAACCAAGACTCGGGCAGAGCTGCTTCTGATGAGAGTACGGAGGACTTGCTTCTTGTTCTCCCTGCAAATACCTTCTTGGATCAGTTGCCTACTGGGGAGTTCTGAGAACCATGGCACCATCAATATTGGGCAGCCATACCCTGGCCCGTGTCCTTGCCCTTGCCCTTCAGAGTCAGTTTCCTTCACTATGGGGAATAAGAGGCATGAAGTCTTCTCGATTGACTCGAGGTAGAGGGCTGAGAATGGGATATACAGACAGAAACAAAAACTACTGCCAGTGTCAACCTTCTCTTCTTGTCACTAGTGGCAGCTTGTCCCCTGCCCTCATCAGAATAAAAAACCGCCTCTACGTTTTTACTTCTTTGCTTCCGATATGAGAAAATCATAGTTACTCTGTCCCTTTACGTGTACTTAGACTAAGCAGAATATTGTTTGACTTAAAATGGTATTTTGCAGCCTTGCTGATCTAAAACCACCTTTATGCAAACGGGCCAGAAGGCAACGTGAATCTATTTCCTTTAAAAATAAACTTCCAAGGTGTTTTATAAATTTAAGTATTTTCCTGAAAAGAAATTAATTTGGGGGTTTTAAAGTCTAATAATATTCTAATTTTACTCTTCTAAAATAGTAGTTTACAGTTTCTCTTATTCTAAAGTAGAAGAAAATACATGTCCAACAACAAAATTGAATTTCTTTTGAGCAGCCCTATAAGAGCACTAATTTTCCCTAGGATGAAGGTCAAGAAATATGTGTAAAGAGATTTAAGAATTAAGTAGGTGTGAAAATAGCTATTAAAGCACAAAGAAAAATAGGCAAAACAAGCTTTTCAGTTTTAAATTATGAAAAATATCCCATACTTTTTTTTTTTTTTTTTTTTTTTTTCTAAAACATGCAGGTTTCTTTTTTTACTCTCAGAAATTGATCTATTGCATCCTAATGATATTAAATAGAAGTTGATTTTTCAGAGGAAAATAAATACTTGAGAAAATTGAATTGTCTATCAGATTTACATATTTCTCTTTGGAGAAACAGAAACCTGTTTATTCTGTAAAAGCAGTTATTTGTGTCTAGATTTGCTCTCCTGGAAGCCATCATTAACCCTTTAGGGTCAAATAATTTTCTCTCCCCTAAATGGCTTTTGTATATTATTTTTTAAAGATTCATTTTTCCATATAATCTCTTTGAGGGCAGGATCAGATAGCCTTCAGAGTACACATCACAGTGTGCACCAACACTGAAAATTAATATTCACATCTTTATTATTATTTTTTTTTGCGGTACGCGGGCCTCTCTCTGTTGTGGCCTCTCCCGTTGCGGAGCACAGGCTCCGGACGCGCAGGCTCAGCGGCCATGGCTCACGGGCCCAGCCGCTCCGCGGCATGTGGGATCCTCCCGGACCGGGGCACGAACCCGCGTCCCCTGCATCGGCAGGCGGACTCTCAACCACTGCGCCACCAGGGAAGCCCCTCCCATACATTTTTTAAGGGAAAGAAATGTCTATTTTTTATATTAGACTCGATGCTCAGATGAAAGAAAAATACGATCTACTATAATAACAGGAGCCTCGCTATTTGTGGTCTAGGGCTTTTCTTGTATCATTCTTGTCTTAATATGAATCTATTTTCCTATATTTACAGCATTTCTCTTCTGGGGTGATGGAACCACTGACAAGTGTCCCTTCTTATGTGTCTCTCTTAAGATTTTCTTCTTTTTTTTGTCTTAGAGAGCACGGATCTGATGTCATTTTCAATGTACAGCTTTTTATCACTCGAGGGAAAAGCAGAGCCATGTTATATTTAGTACTTTCATTTCTTCTGATTAAATATGAATTACTATGAAATTTTTCTCATCATCTAACACGCTATAATATGCCAACAGCTTTTTAATACACTATATAAGCACAAACTTCTGCTCTAAGAGTTTAATTTGCCCCTCTAATCCAATCACATCAACCTTATTTCTCTTATCAGAGATTCCCATTTTGAATTAAATGAGCTCATTAGTTTTAATCAAAAGCAGAGAGATCAAAACTTAAACGTAAATGCTTTAGATCAGAACTGTCAGTCAGCCGTGCAGTTCTATTTTACTAAAACACAAGATCAGAGACCCTTAGAACCAATTTTTTCTCGTAAGGGATGCCGAGAGCTTGAAGATGCTATATCCCTTTTTTTTTTTTTTTTCCTTCCTCCCAAGGACAGATTATACATTTAAGGTTAGACTTAATTTATAGCACTTTTTCATCCTGGTGGAAGTGGAAAAGTGTGCCAATCTACTAGTGTTCTTTTCACATTTATTGGCCCTGGTCCTCAGAGACTTGAACTAACATGAAGCCATCAGAATCCACACCACAGACTTAACCTCAACAGTTCAGCTCTGTTCAGCGAGATTGTGTTTGCAACAGCTGAGGAAAAATGCAACTTCCCAGAAAAGCGAACTATGTTTTATGGCTGGGGTCCAGGATACCCTGACCCAGGAAGGAAGGAACCATGTAACTGTGAATAATTCAGGCATCGTTAGAAATTGTTATCGTTTTTAGTACGTGGAACTGCACAGGTAAACACTTAGTGGGCACTTTAGAGACTCCAGCAAAGGTGCTTCCCGCTGGGTGACACAACGGGAGACACGAGCTTCCCATGAGCTGTGGAGCCGAATGCTGCGTCCTGCTCTGGCTGGGCAGTGAATATAAAGCCCCCATCCCCCTGCCCCATGTGTTAAATCTCCAACATATACAGGAGCAGCGTTCATTAAACCCAGGACAACTGGTGTGAGAGGAATGCTAAGGTTAGATTCTGCCCCAGTGGAGCTGAGACTGAAAATCTAAACTGGTCCTCAGGCTGCCTTTCAAGAGCATGGGGATTTGGGGGGCTGGTCAGGGAGAAGAGAGAGGGCAACTTGGAAAAGAGTTTGATTTCTGATAAAGATTTCTGCTTCAATTCCACACAGCCTTCTAATTCTGAGGACAGGGACAGAAGTCACCTGCCACATTGGCCCTTTCAAAGGATACGTGACAAACTCATTCCCAGCACACACGTACACAGCCACGTTTGCTCAAGGGCTGGCAAATATGCTCTGGTTATCCCAGCTCTGACAGTGGTGTCTCTCATGCAAAGAGACATATTATCTGCATGTGACAGGAGCAGCCACTTTAGAACAGAAGCTTTCTAAGTGTCTCAGGTGAGAAGCACAGATTGTGATGAAGGCTCTATTGGGAGAGAACCAAGGGAGCATGGCCTTGGTGACGTGCGGCATGACTGTAGCACTGAATAGAGAAAGGGTGTGTGTGTGTGTGTGTGTGTGTGTGTGTGTGTGTGTGTGTGTGTGTTGGGCGGATATGAAGAGAGGACAAAATAGTGAGAAAAGTATCCTTAGGACTTCTGCTCTATTAAGACCGTGGAACCAATCTATGTCAAGAAAGCGTATTGGAGTGCTTTCTAGATATCACACACTTTTCTGTCAGCTTTTTGAGACAGGCCGTGATTGCTGCATAATCTCATAAGAAATTTGGGATTCAGAGAAGTTATATCTGCTGCCAGAGACAAAGGAGAAATTGATGGGTGAAGCTGGATTAAGTGGTCAAAGCCCAGATATGGCCAGTTTTGACCTATGAATTATAAACAAGGAGCTGAAAAAACAAAAACAAGACCCACACAACTGAAAGCTAGATAAAGAAATAGACTCTCTTTTGGTGAATCTCAAGGGCCTCAACTTTTAAGTAAATCTAAATGATCTCAGCTCTTGAAATGTCAGTTTTTGCATATTTTGTGAAATTTACAGAACAATTCATAGCAAAAGTTGTAATAATTTTTATGTTGGCAAATTCCACCATAACGTGAAAGCATATCTGCATCTTTCCACCTCTGTTTATAATTCCCTAACTGGTACTGTAGTTGCTGCTTCCTTATTATTATGAAGGGGCAGGAGGTGGTGATGAAGGTAGGTGGCTGAGAACCATCTAGTTCTCACTGGCCAAGCCAAGCCAAGGGCCAGGTGTATTCTGAGCACTTCTGGGATTCTCTCCAGGGTCCCTGCAAGTGGATGAGGCCAAAGCATAAAGAGGGCCTTTCTTTCTAGCACACTCCAAATGTCTGTTGTGCAACCCTAGTGTCAGAGCCTCCAACTGCCATCAAATCCTGATGGGGGTGGGAGAGAAAAGAAAAGTTAAGTTTTGAGAAAAGTCAAAACTCCTCAAGTGTGAACATAGTATTTTTCCTTTTAAAGGAGAAGTGGCATTGGGCTAAGTTATTAAGATATGAAGTTAAATATACTCTTCCACGACTTCATTGCCTAAATGAATCTTTCCTTTTTCAGAAATTCTGTGCAAAGTGCGAACAACCAAAATGACTTTCACAAGACAAGGGAAGAGATGTTGGTTCATTTTGCAATTATCTTGATAAAGCCAAACTGTTTCACCGGCGTATGCTGTTAACCTTTGTTAGACACTGATGTACTTTCGAACTTTAGAATGAGTATATGTCAAGTATGTAACAAGTTATTTCATTTCTTACAAAAATTTTCCTGCACTTCCTCAGCCACTTGGAAGTTAGGTTTGATCGTGTGGCTTTCTGTGGCCAGTGGAATGTGAGCAAAAGTCGTGTCACTTTCAGGTGGAATTCTCGAGAAAAGCAGGTCACGAGGTGCTA